GGTGTGGATGATTGACAGCTCGAGGCTATACTACAGGTGTGGATGATGGACAGTTTGAGGCTATACTACAGGTGTGGATGATTGACAGTTCGAGGCTACTACAGGTATGAATGATGGACAGTTTGAGGCTATACTACAGGTGTGGATGATGGACAGCTCGAGGCTACTACATGTGTGGATGACTGACAGCAGCATTAACCCGGGTACTCACGTGTTTAGCGCGGGTTAACGGGCCCTCCTCTCCGCTGCATCTCGAGCCACAGACCCGTGTCAGACCCGGGTCAGGGCGTTAACTCACTTCCATCCCGTGTTCGACCCGGTGATTAGCTTCACTGCTAACAACAAACACACAAAGGTTAGCGTGCTAAGCTAATCACTCGCAGTGTTTAGAGGTAAGGCTGATCTTAGATCAGTTCCTACAGACTGTGACGTCGGGCCTCAACATTAAACGTTTATCACGGAAGATTGTTTTAAATATAAATAACAGCTAGGTCGTTAGCTCACGGTTGACTCTCTTAGAGCCGAGCTAGCTGTTAGCCTGTTAGCATAACGGACGCTGCCTCCCAGCTACGGCTCTGTGCGTCGTTTCCTTGGTAACGCTCCATGGTCTGCTCTCATTGGTCACAGCAGACCCCGCCCACTGACAGCTGTGTGTAAAGCAGAGCCGTGTTAACTGCTGTGATGACACGTAGAGTCCAGCAGGGGGCAGCGGCCTCATGAACATTTAAACACTATTACAGATATTCACATTTAAACTGAATAAACACAATAAAAATACATTTATTTATTGAATCCCTGGGATCCCTCCCTAATAACTATTAAACGGTAGTGTAATATATGTCCAGTATATGACTGTTTATGATGTCATATAATATAATATAATAAAATAAAATAAAATATATGATATAACATTATATCATATCAAATCTAATATAAAATAATATAATATCGTCATCACATATAAAGTTATTCAATCGAATATAATATATAATTATAATATATATTATATAATATATAATTATATAATATAATATGATATTATATGATAATATATTATATTATATTATAAGATCAATTAAATGAAATCTAAAAATAAATAAAAATAAAAATAAATGAAATTAAATAAAGTATGATATAATATAATCAATGTTTAATAAGTCTATAAGCTAAATGTTGGTGTCAAAATAGTATGGTCAAATGTGTTGAGAGTGAAGAGTTTAGTTTTTGACGTTACATCAGTGGCGGGCTGTGCATTTTATACCTGGGCCTTCAGTGCTGTCCTGCAGCTGAAATACCACCTTATGACCTCATGATGGCGCCACAGCTACGGTTATTTGTTTCTAGGAGTGTAATAATACACGTATTCATATTAAACCGTTCGGTACGAGGCTTACAAACCGTACAATACATTTGAATAATACTATTGTATTTGGAAAATGCAGAAGCTTAAATTGTGGGAAATATAATGTTTTCTGCGCTCACGTAGGAGACAACGGGCTGTGTGACCTCTGAACCGGAACAAAAAAAAACACAATAAAGAACAGCTGGGGCTCCGCAAGTGTTCTGGGAGGCTAGGCTAACTAGCTTAACGGGAAAACAACAGCAGCAACACGCATTCTGCTACACACTCGAGGGCCATTCAGATATTAGATGTAAAAAAACAAACGCAGTTGACTTTCCAAATGCTGATCACTTAATAACACTAGCCCTATTTTTAGGCCTCTGCTCGAAAATTGCATACCCATACTAAAAAGACTGTAATTCTGTAACTACAAGGTCTATTTTAATAATTTTGATGGTATAATACAGGTAACACTTGTGAGATTTGTTCAGATGTGTAAATATTGTGTATATGTTACTGGTTAATAGTGAATGAAGATGGCACACAGCTCAAATTGAAAAGTTTCAGGTTCGCCTGAAAAAAAAGCGCTTTTATTGAAATTATTTCTTTGAAATAATGCAGCTCCAAGCCTAAAAACACTCCCAAATCATAGCACAACATGTCAGAATTTTTACTGTAATAAAGTGAAGCAAAAAAAAATTAGAGGTTTTGGTACAGAGAGGTCGCGGGAGGTCGAGCAGATTTGTCATTTTGGAACCAGCTGTTCCATTGTACTTTTCTATACTATATAACTATATATTTCACTTGTTTTATCACTAATAGTGTTCAATCTATCCAAATACAGCAGTTTGGCTTCATTTTGAGAGCCTGAGGCCTCTCTAAGGCCTCTCTGTGTCTGTGAACCATGCATCCATTCTCGTCTGCCTGTGTGTATGTGGAGGCTATAACAGGCTATGATTGGCCAATTCCAGACTATGACACCTTGTTCGACGCGTCAGAGTCTCATGAATGCAGGGGTGGTAACGTGGGCTTGATTGACAGAATCTTTTGCCGAAAAACAACAGAAACGCACTATGCGTCGCCCTGCGTAAAAACTGATTCGCTGAAAGTGAATTCCCTTCCCACCACGGTGTGTGTGTGTGTGTGTGTGCGTGTGCGTGTGCGTGTACGTGCGTGCGTGCGTGCGCGCGCGCGTTTAGATTAAGAAAAAATGCAATCAAGTGTGACATCTGGAACGTGCTGTTGTCCTTACTGGAAAGCACCCCCCACACAGCCATACACACACACACACACACACACACACACACACACACACACACACACAGTTCATCCTGTGAGGAATGTGGATGTCCGTGTGCAGACTTGTTGAAGAATCATGAACTCAGACACTAAACTTTGTCTCTAAAAATAAAGATAACGTTCTTCTATTATTTTAAAGCACAGTGTGGATTCTGCAGCTCGTGGTCTGACGTGGTCTGATGTCACGGTCCACTGCAGGCAGAAAACACATTATGTAGGTCGATGCACGTAATGTGTGGAACCGAATTATACTGTTAGCACTATGCCGTTATCAACATTTAGCACAAGCAGCTGATTGGCTTAGAGAGCGTGAATGAAACAGGAAGACCCTCCTGCTGGATCCTGGTCTGCTACAGCCGTCCTCTAACAGAATTTAACAAATAATACTCACACTACAGATGTAGAAAATCTAAACATCTGGTTCTGATTATTTTATGAGGCCAAAGAGACCAGTGTTTCACACATCTGTAAGATTTACTCTGAACTAAAGTAACCTGCAGAAAGGACTCGTCAGCTGGGAAGTTAGGTAATACTTTTACAATAAATAGAATAAAATATATTGTATTTTAGTAGGTTTCCTAGAAAGAAACCAACTGGTGTTTAACTGTTTCATATCCATAATAGTAATAAACATTACCAGTTTGGCTCCCTTCTTTTCTCTCCTTACTACAGACATTTTGTATCATACGTATATTATTTCTCATGAACAAGTGTTGGAACCAGGTTTAAAGGTTCTATTCTGGTTCCAGATGAGAACCAGGTTCTGTGGATGTGATCTGATGAAGAGCAGAAATAGAAACTTATCTTCTGGTTTTGGTTTTGTCTTTTTCTGGTTGTGAAACAGAGCAGTCAATGAATTCTGTGACCCGTTCCTCTGTTGTTCTGGTTCCACTGGGAACAGAGTACCTGAGCAGGTAGAGTACAGAGTACCTGAACAGGTAGAGTACAGAGTACCTGAACAGGTAGAGTACAGAGTACCTGAACAGGTAGAGTACAGAGTACCTGAGCAGGTAGAGTACAGAGTACCTGAACAGGTAGAGAACAGAGTACCTGAGCCGGTAGAGAACGGAGTACCTGAACAGGTAGAGAACAGAGTACCTGAGCCGGTAGAGAACAGAGTACCTGAGCAGGTAGAGTACAGAGTACCTGAGCAGGTAGAGTACAGAGTACCTGAGCAGGTAGAGAACGGAGTACCTGAGCAGGTAGAGTACAGAGTACCTGAGCAGGTAGAGAACAGAGTACCTGAGCAGGTAGAGAACGGAGTACCTGAGCAGGTAGAGAACGGAGTACCTGAGCAGGTAGTGAACGGAGTACCTGAGCAGGTAGAGTACAGAGTACCTGAGCAGGTAGAGTACGGAGTACCTGAGCAGGTAGAGCACGGAGTACCTGAGCAGGTAGAGAACGGAGTACCTGAGCAGGTAGTGAACGTAGTACCTGAGCAGGTAGAGTATAGCTACTCTGAATACTACCGGCTCTACCAGAGAACAGTTACCAGCTCTGAATCCTGTGAGTCCTGTATAATTATTAAATCCTCTTCAGGTCAGCAGGTGAGTCGACCTGCAGGCTGATCTCAGATCAGTGCTCAGCTTTATATTTTCAGGTCATGTACTAAACGTTTCTATAACTGTGTGTGTGTGTGTGTGTGTGTGTGTGTGTGTGTGTGTGTGTGTGT